AATGCTGCTCATCCTCAAAGTCTTCAGTTTCCTGGAATGTTTCTTAATTGAAGTAGGAATATCAAGAAGAATTTGAAGCAACAAAAGCAGAACTGATAAGGGCAACCAACCGATGCATTGGGAGGTTGGTCTTGTTGGTCTACCAATAAGGAATGCAACATAGCGCACATCACTGCAACATTCTCCTCAGTTCTCATCAGTGTTCCATTTTCGAGCATGTTCTGTAGTAGAGAAACGATTAACACTCACGGAACGAGCTTCATCGAATTCTCTTCAGTTCATCTGGCTTCAACCTCAATAACAGTTACTTCGAACACTAGAAGCAGTTCTGGATTACAGGCTCAAAAACTTGAATGAAGAAAAGGCTTTCTTAGGAATATTACTTTCGAGGGTTGTGCGTGGATTCATAAGCTTTTTTTCAATGGACGGTCCGAATAGCCAATAGGAGAAAAGCAAAATTGAAGGGGCGTCAAGCATAGCACAGTGCGCGGCAAGGACTACTCGCCAAAAGAGTGGCGGAAAAGAAGTTAGATCGACTTCCGTCCACCATCATATGTGAAGAATTATTGACTAGTGCCTGTTTCCTTCATTGCAGACGACACCGCGAAAAATAAAATAGGTGCTAGTCTTAAAAAGGTGTTTTACAAAGATTAAATCAACTGAAAAGTTGGCATGTGACAAATGTCTCGAAGAATCTAATAATTCACGAAATGATCCAACAAACTGTCCTACTCATTAATATATGCACGTAAATGCTGCATGAAAATGCTATTACCTGAATGATATGTGACGCAGCTAAGCAACGTCCATGGTATTTGAAAGTCTCCATTACAGGAACAAACTCGGTGAGCCCGGCTAGTTTCAGAGCATTATTATATTCATCTATAGGTAGCCGGATTAGCTTCATCAATTCACGACCAATAGGGTCGAAAGGTTCGATACTGAAAGTAAAAAAAACCTTTCAACAATGACACATTTTTCACATACAAAGGAATACAAAGGGAGAGAAGGCAAGATGACGTACGCAGTTTTCTTCTTTTCCTCCAGAATACATTTCAAACTCCCGAATGATGTATTTGCAAACTCTGGCCGATTCGGATAGCACTTGATCGCAAGGCTGACCAGAGCAGCCTTAAAACTCGTACTGAAGCATGGACTAAGCGCTGGAAATGTTAAGAATGGATCGAAAGTGTATGGCTCACATAAAGCGACACGATGTCCTCCATAGGCATTTCGGTACGATTTTTCACAAAGTTCTTTGCCTGTTCTGAGAAAATATCGAACAGTTGAATCTAAAAAAAATTGGCATTTTGAAAGTATTCAACAGAAATGGAAACTAAACAATCTCACATCTGCTGGGATGCCGGGTCCATCTGGATTTGCAGCAAACAATGCCAGTCTTTCAATCAATGCAATCAGGATGTTTTTGACATTAACCTCCTAAAAATTCGCAATTCTGATACTACGTCGATGCAGTCTAAATTGTAATATCTTACTGGAACTAAATCTCCACACGCTCGTAGAAATTCGTTTAATGTCGCGAGGTGAAAATCATCGCCAAATACTTGAATGACACATTCCATTAAATACTCCTGAAGAAAAGAAGGAAAACTGCGCTGCAGAATAACATGGTCAAAGCAATGAAATAGGGCTATAATAGAGCGTGCTGTCACACCATTTTATTTTAATACTTCGTTGAAGATATGAAACTATTAACTCAATTTCTCGATAAGCGAGGTACTTAGGTGAACATTATATATCATAAACCCCACCCGAAAACAGCATTTGAACAAATGTCAAAAAAGCAAGCAGAATACTTTCTGGCTTAGTCTGGTTCGCTCAGACAATGTTCTGAATTGAAGATCGGACATGAGGATGGATAAATAGATGAATAAGCGACCAGATGAAAAGAAATGTATCGAAGAGACCATGAGAGAGAATAGGCGAACAGGCGCACATGCTATCGCCTGAGACGCTCAGAAGGTGAAGCAAAGCAAAATAATGTTTCTTCTCACCTAGTCACCTATTCGCATAAGTCGTTCACTATGAAATGCCTTGGCAAGTGTTGAAAGAGAACAAAATTCTCGATAACCCATGATTACCTGTGAAATGTGATCTCGACAGGATACGACTTGCTCGAGAATACTCGGCAATACTTCCTTAACATACATGTCCTCAGTGAGGTTTTCAAGTTGTGACAGACGCACAAGATTCGTTCCAACAAGTATCCTAAATAAAAAGGGACTTTGCGTATACCGCACTGCATGAAACCAAAGAAAGGTCCGCACAATAATCTGAAAAAGCCAGCTTGGAAAGTTAAACAGATCAGCAACATTGTTTTCGGTACGCTAAGATCGAGAGAAAGCAGTGGAATTATAAGAAACATGAATTGAGGGTTTACCCTATCACCACATATGTATAACGCTAATAATATGTAGTTCACAGACCAGGTACTTCACTGAAAAAGAGGCTGTTGAATTCAGAACGAAACTAACCGCAACTCCATACGATCCTTTTCCCGTTTCTCCCGCTCTCTAGACGGTCCTTGATGTTGCATTCGAACCCATAGCTTATTCATTTCAGCAAAGTTCACTAGCACAAAATGAATCGCGTCCGATACGGTACCATCGCATTCTCGTGGTTCCTTATCGGATTCAGGCAAATCATTGACACTATAAAAGAAAGCTTACTTTACGAAAAAGTTTGTACCGTAACACGAAGAAAATGAAAAATGCAATGCAATCCGTAACAAAAGCAAACCTACTCTGTAGTGGTAAGATCAGGATTATCTGGAAGAAGAGTTCGGGTACTTTGCAGCAAGTAATTCCTGAGAAACAAACCCCTCAAAGGGTGTTGCACGCCGCGACACATTTCAACAAGATCACTAAGGATATTGCGACGGGTGTCTTCGCCGCATTTGATATATACTACTCCAATGGTAATTAAGAGATACCTGAAAAATGAAAGCAAATACAAAATGAGCTTACTAAAATTTCAGGACAAATAACTGTCAACAAATGGTCACATAGAGACGTTATAGCACTTATGAAAAATGAAGAAGAATTTAAAAGCAAAAGTTTTGTGAACGATATAAACAAGTTGTTTGTTTTGTAATCTTCACTTAGACTACCGGCTATATAAGCATCGGTGGGTAGGTTAGACTTCACTTTTGTGTCGACCTTGGAGCCGTCTCCAGCAATTCAATAAAGCTTCACCTACTCCGGATGTACTACACACCAGACAGAGGACACTACAATAAGAAAAAGAAGGATAAAAGCGTTTTATGATGAGAGGCCGATGCCGCATGCGTTCCAAGGGAAACACAGGCGTCACACTACCCTCAAGGTCGTTGCGAACAAATGCAGCATTGGCACCGTCGAGTTCCAAATAAAGAGAAAAGATAGAAAAAATAAATAAGCGGGAAACTATAAAAAGAAATAGAGTTATATGTGGGTGCTTCCATCTGCGTGCACACACAGAAAAAAAGCAGGATTAGGTGTTTGAAGTGTTTTCGCAAATCCCCTTCTAACCAACAGTACTTGGGGACCCCAAAAAATTGGAAGCTGTCCTCATATCTGAATAAGCAATATAAGAGGCAAGGAAACCTAGTTTTACCAATTTCAAAAAACGATGAATCAATCAAAACATTATATGACTCACAATCGCGGAACAATTGCCGCGGCGTATTGCACACACTCGTAGAGGTTCTCTATTTTCTTTGGATCACGTTCGTGTTCGTCGACCAAAAATGCTTCTAGGTGTTGTAATTCGCTAACTGCATCCATATCTAAAAATGCCCAATAAAAATAAAATGAAAGGACTTGGGGAGTACAATAAAGCGCATTCGAGACAACCGTGCTCACAGTTACTCGGATAAGAATCAAAGATGTATAAAGAAGGACCAACTGAAACAGAACTTTCCGCAACTGACCTCCTACATTCATTAACGATCGGAAACATTTTCCATTCTTCAATGATATTATACATTAGAAGAGGATAGAGGTCTGTCTCAAAACCTTTCTCTAATCAGAAGCGCAGATTTGCAAAATTCCTTTTCTAGGAAATGAAGACTCACAGACAACCTGTACATAAAACCCAAAGTACCGAAACGTATTGAGAAAGTTCTTGACTCTTTTGAATTTTTGGAATAAAATTTCCGGAGCCGCATACTTGCTTGAATTTTGGAATCAGGAAATTTTAAGAAGGGCAAATAGGGAGAGGCAATGTGGCGCATGAGGTGGGACCTGATAAGTTGTGCTCCTAGAAGAGTGTTCAAACGAGACGCGGAACGGCCGACATTCATAGTTCGATTCCGGAGAGTAGGATAGTACGCGACAATGAAAAACATATGTATTGACGGGGAGATTAGGATAGTAGTAGATTAGGATAGTGCGCTGACAAGATTAGATATGTATTGATCTATTCGCTTGAAGTCGCCCAATCTACTACTCTCCAGCGATTTCAATCGATACGTATCCAATCTTGTCAGCGCAATCTCCTACTACTACCTATATCCTGTCGCCTACTATCCTAATCTCCCCAGTCTGCTGACTATGAAGCAGCCGAAGGCACGCCCAGTGGCGCTTTGACGATGCCCTCCCTACCGGCACATGCAGTTTCATTTAAACTGCGGTGATGGTAATCCAAATATAATGTGATACAGTTCTTACTGAGGCGGAGTTTTTCATAAGATTGCGCATAGCTACCGTGATTTTATAAAGGGTACACACATGATGCTTGGAAGATCGGAGTTATTGCAACAACCCGTTTGACCAAATAGTTCGCCTGAACGTGAGAAAATTGATTTGCCATACAGAACATAATATCTATTAGGAAAATTTGTTAGAGCGAGAGCTTCGCTGGTATTCTATCATTCAGGAACTGTGAAGCATGTTTCAAAGCATCCATCGTTTCACCCTGGAAAAAAGCATGATATGATATTGAAGGAATCTGATACGAGAAGCGATGAAAAGAGAGTCTCCACGATTACTCAAGATTATTACCTTGTCGAGGCATCGCTTCATTTCCAACGACTCCGCCTTGACCACTCGCGTGGCGTTTTCCAACAATTTTTCTTGTTCCGCATTTATTGTGGCCTCGTTCTTCATTCTTCTAAGTAATCAATGGTATATATGCAATACTCAATAAATGGATACTGTAGCGATATTCGCATGGAGATCACGGATAACGGTGTTATGAGAACTGCCAGATAATTGATCCGCTCATTCAGGACAGTTTGCGGGGGGGGGTGTGTGTTTGCAAATGGAAGAGTAACTGCAACACACAAACTAAGCATTGCAGTTTTCTCTGGCGTAGACATTATGCATGTAGGAATTTGTAGCAACAGGAGAAACATGACATCACTCAAACAAATACTATATATGAGCTAAACGGTGAGATTCTTCAAAAGGTGAAATCAGGCACCGGCAATGTTTGGCCTGTTACGCGAGTGCGCACCTTTTGTGGCGTTTGTCTAGCAAAATGTCGAGACCACAGTTGAAATTGTCTGAGGTGGGGATGGAGTGCTGCGTTTTCCTTTCCGGACGGTAAAAAATTTCTTTATATTTCGCTCGCTTATTTATTTTGGTTGGATATGACGAAGAGCATTATTTTCATGCTGGGGGAACAATCCCCCTTCAAAATGTTTTGTTAGTTGATCAGGGAATCGCGTATGGTTCCCCTCTCTTCCAAACGTGAATGACTACTTATTAGTTTTGTGCAGTTTTGTGTTGTTGCTCGGGGGGATGGGGCCGCGCCTTAAAAAAGGATCTTGATTATCTAAGCAGAGGGACGAATCAGGTGTGTACTCGTTGGTTCAGTACGAGGGGGTGTATCCGGGCTTCGAAGGGGGTTGTATTCGACAAGGTCGGAGCAGCGTCAATTCTACACGGGGGTCGTAGTGTGACGCGAAAGCAAATACTACTATAGTAACAACTCAGATAGTGAGGGTGGTGGTCGTTATTGGTGGAGCCTCGTGAGTCTCATGGTGGTGGAGGGGGTCGTAAAAAATGCAAAAGCCCCAAGTCACCTCGGTAAGGTTGACCTGGGGGGGGGTCCGTATCGAAGCTATCCAGATAGGGGGGCGGGAAGTCGTATTTTTTTTTGAATTTGGTCAACGTGCGGTTGAACCTGAACGAACTCGGAAAACGCGGGTTCCGGACACGGGTTTCGCCCTTTCAGACTTTTGAGTCCACACTTCCGAGCACGATTCGACCCCCAAGGTTTATAGGGCTCCGCTCCGGGGAAACTTGCGCTGAAGCTACTGTCGAAACAAAGAGACATTTCTGGTGCAGTCTCAGTGTTTTCGATTTTTTCTCTTGGATCGAAACTGTTAACTGTTCTCAAAATAATATAGGAGGAGGTTTATTTTAATTTAATGCTGCGTTTACATACGGTTTCAAGGATGAATCATAGGCGTCGATCCTCCGTTATGAATGGCCTGCAGCGACTGACCTTCAGGCTTCGCTGTGGCTCTGAATGGTGTCGCGCCGGCATGGACGCCTTGCTCCTCGCATAAGCTCAGAAGCATCGGGGTTCACCCTGCTTAGGAGCGGCGTCCATGTCGGCGTGAGGGTACAATGGGGACTTACGCTGCGCCCGCTCTCGCCACTGTCCACGCGGGGGTAATATACCAAAGGCCCTAGCAGCCCCTATGCTAAACGCTGCTTACCTGCACCTACTAACCTACGCCATGCCAACAACCTTTTGAACAACGGCCATTGCGGCCTACGACGGCATCCTTCAAGCCTAGCCTACGAACGTTTCATATATTTTACACCTAGCTAGCATGTGTAGAACAAATACACTACGGTGGAATCACCGTTTGAGGACTTAGTAAATAACACACAAATAAAATGTTTATAGATTTGTATGGAGCATACTATGAAAATGAATAGTAACTTCGATGAATTGGAAAACCACGACCTACGAACTCATGGGTCGAACAGTGCTCAGTCCTTACGGGGGGAGACGTGGTAGCGGTCCTGCGGTCCATCTCGGGCATCCATGCCCGTCCTGCTCCATTGCTCCATCTGTCTCAACGCATGGACCAAGGCGACGACGCACGACGAACAGCAGGACCACGACGTAAGAGCGAGAAACGCAACGACCAGACTCGGCGAGATCGACGTGAAGACTGACTGAGGCGCCTGCGGACAGGTCTGTTTCGCTCTGACCGCCGTCCAGGAACCTCTCGCTGGGATCCGGGACGCGCGCACTAGGACGCGCGCACCCTACCAGGCGCGACCTTTGAGAAGTCGTGCGAAATTCACGATACTGGGGGCGGCGCATGACGAAAAGGGGGTCCCAGTGGCGGCAGTACTGGATACCAGTCGTTATCTGTGGGCTACGCAACCTTATATACAACAGATTGTTATGCCGTAGAGTCCGACAGGGGCTCTAACTTACTAAGCTGGAAGTTCAGGAGGACTGCAGGTTGTGTGACGGCGGGCATGATGGTTTTCACCGGTTACAATATGTAAAACTTCAATAAAAATACAACACATACAATGAATCTATGGTTGACGACGATGTGAGGCGAAAAGGCTCGATGAGGCGACAGCTACTTTGCTTGACTTGATGACTGCGGCTTCATTCGGCACGACACGAGGCGAAGTCAGACGTATATTGACCAACGAGTACGGGTGTGCTCGGTGGAACGGTCTCCGACGATTAAAAATTACGGGACTTTTTTATACCTACGTGTGAGTTTTGCCTCACATTACGGGGGACAATTTTGTGCGAGGGGGAGATTTTTCCTCGCTAAGGCGAAATAAACCCATGGGCCAATTAGAAAGGAAATGAAAGGAATCCCGGGGTCCCCAGGGCAAAAGGCACTAGCGGTCACCGATAGGAGGGGCTGCGTCATGCGATGGGATGTCACACGTCCGTTGAACTCCGATGACGTATTCCTCGCCTACGCGAGCTGAAACAACCTCGTACTACGCGGTACGCTGGAAATAAAAAAATGAACAAGTAATATTTCGGACCTACGGTCCGTACGAAACTACGCTTTGCAAAAATGAGTTACTCGTTTCTACGATGATATCCTTACGCAGAAAATAAATTGCATTTGGTTTACTAGGGGAATGGAAATGACTTGGCCGTTTACGATTGAGTACGTGAGCATACACAATTATTGCCTACGGTGACAAGACTGAATAAATTAGAAAGAGAAGTGGCCAAAGGGAACTGCTACTCCTCATCACAACTCTTAAATCACTCTTCTACGGTTACTGGTCTACTTCGAATCCTTGCTACTGTGTTGTCTGGCATACGCGAGACGTTCTTGCTCCGCTGCGTCTTCTCGTACGACACGCGCTATTCTGCGGGCTCTACGCATGCGTGCGGCATAGCGCTCTAGGACGATGTCGCTAATTGCGTGCTGGTTGCGGTAGCAAAATGCTGTATGATGGTCTTTACGCTTACAACACTTGCACGTTATAACGATTTTCGTCGAATACGCAATTTTCGTCGAGATGTTCGCCGCCACAGCGAAAGCAACGCCCGCTATGTTCGTGCATCCATATGCGATCTGACAGATATGGAAAATTCTGGCACTGCGCTGAAAAGTGCCGCTGACGACAAAAGAAGCAGCGGGAAATGGAGGCAGCAGGATCAGATGGTTCGAGTTCTGAACTCGTCTCTCAGCTCCCCGAGCGAATCGTACGCTTCCGAGCGAACTGGTCGCCTAAGCGAACCGGCTTGGGGGCGGAAAGCCGAGGTGAACTCGTACGGCGCGGAGGAGAGTGAAACGATAGGACGCTACGTCCATCTTGCTCTTCCCTACGAGGGGAGAGACTGCGGGGTGGCGTTGGCATACGCTCGCGGCGGTGTTCCCTTTGCGTATAATGATAGTTGTAAGGCGAACGTACGCGTGTGCGATGATGGTAGCTTTCGCGGCTAACTGAACGACAGCAGCAGCAGTGAACTTCATAGCAATGCCCGTGCCTACGCACGCGATGAACGTTATATGCTGGACTCACGTCGCGTGAATGCTCGCGATGACGCTGCGGCTGTGGACTGGCACTGCGCGATGAGCGGCGCTCCATGTACGATTGATGTTGTTCATGGCGTTGTTCTGGCGAGCGCTGCCTACGCGGCGGATGATCTTGGCGCTGCTGCGCACGCGCGCGGCGAAAGGGGTTGTCCCGACGCCTGTAATAGCTACGCTGAGCTGCTGGCTCATCGTCTTCCTCCTCGGAAGCTACGCGATACGAACGCTGCTGAGGGATCTGCGGTGGAAGCGTGCGAGTAAGAGATGAACTGCGATGGCGTCGAGGCTGGACCGGAAGTTCGGCGGTCTGCGTTGATGTTGCGGCCACCGGAGCACTCCTACGCTGGTCTTGCTGCTCTAGCTCTAAAGCACTGCACATCTGATCAAGAATTTGCATTAGCGCTGTACGCGTATTTGCAGCGGGTTGCGTGGCTAGAATGAGATGTTGCTGCCTGCGCAGAGGTATTCGCTCGCTGCGATGTTTTACTTGTTTTAGAATTAGTTGCCATGATGATTGCTTGAACACTTGAGACGGGTGGGCCTCAGATCACAAATTACCTGAAACAGGAAGGGGATGAGGATAGCAGCTACGCGAAACTAATGCATACCACAATTAGCGATAAGAATGGACGTAGCGGATGTTATTATAGAATTTAAATAATAAACTAATACAGAGAATTAAACTAAAGGCGGACTACGCCGAAAAAAAGGGGGGCAATACTGATGAAAGAAACTATGTAATAAGTGTATACTATGTGCAGATGTTTTTAGTATGCCATGTTATATATATCCCTACTATATATAAAGCGCTAAGTCTGTCTGTCTG